TCGGATATTTTGCTCGTTTTGAGCCGTGTATCTCCCATGAAGCGTTGATTGAAACAGTCAGAAAAATGACGGAACCACCTCCATCGTTTACCGTCGATCCTAATTTCACAAAGATCAAGGATAGCGGGTGAGCAATATTTTTGTTCGCAGAAACTATATTTCGAAGTTTAGTCTCGACGAAAAGGTCCGGAAGCAATCCGAGATATACCTCAAAATGAGATACGATCATATGATCAAAGTTCAAAGAGTAAGTTGATTAGCTATGTTTAAGTAATGAAGAAATTTGTTTCAGAGAAGATTCGCCGAGTATTTCCTGTCCAAAGTTCTCTTCAATGAAACTGGTCTTCGGATTGCTGATCAATTGATGTATGAAAGTAAGAAATAATTATCTAGCGAAAAGTTTTCATTCAAAAATTTCAGATTGCAAACAAGTATACGGAACATCCCATTGGGAAGATCTTCCCAAGGAATGGGTTACGACAGAAACATTCCTTGAGAAATTCTTTGATGAAGAGGAGTTGGAAAAAGATCAATTCGGAATGCAACGACTCGACAGAGTAGCTGGTTCGGCACGTGGAATGATCATTATGAAGTATCTGAAAATGAATCCACACTGTGGTCCGGAATACAAGCTTCTTCACAAAGAGATAGCTGATGACGAGAATCTGGTTCATACGGACTTGGTGAAGGAGATTCTCGACGAAGGACCGATTTATGAGTTGAGAAAAGACGACCAAGGAGAAGAGCAAAAATACAGAGCAGAGAAATGGAATATTCATAAGTAAGTTTGCTAAAACTACAATTTCTATGTATGGAGATAAGACGAATTTTGTTCCAGAACACTTATTATGTTCCCTCAATTCCTGGATTTCGTTCGAATGATAAGAAATTGAAAAATGAACACGAAGAATGGTTTTACGGATTGCTCGAAGCAATGAAACACGATCCAACAAATCGGGCTGCTCTGTACTTTTTGAACAAAAATTATGCTGTGGAGCTAGAAGAGAGAGAAAAGGAACGGGATAGACAACGGCTGCAAATCCTAAAAGGTCAACAGATCAATGAGGAGGCTGTCGGAGAACAAATATTCAAGGAGATTCGTGCACAACCATCAGAGAGTGGATACAGTGAGAAAATCAAATTGATCTGTCCAGTTTCATCACCTATTCTTTTAGGTCCTAGCATCGAGATAGCCGAACTCAAGCTTCGTACATACCAAGAAGAACTCGTCCAACCTGCTTTGGAAGGCAAGAATTGTGTAGTTGTCGCACCAACTGGTGCCGGAAAGACTGAAGTGGCTATTTACGCTGCACTGAATCACATCAAAGAAAGACATAATCAGGAAAAAGCAGCCAGAGTGGTTTTGCTGGTTCCAAAGATTCCTCTCGTCAGTCAACAGAAAGAGCGATTCTTGAAGTACTGTGCAGGTCAATACCACGTTTGTGGAATCCATGGCTCAGAGAAAAGTGACACCGGAGAAGGCCGTCGTGATGATGTTCTTCAGGCTCACATCGTTGTGATGACGCCACAAATTCTGATGTGAGATTCAATAGACACTCTATTTATGTTATGTTATTCATTTCAGTAACATGCTACAATCGGTTCGTCGAAACGAGCGTCTCTACGTTAGCGATTTTTCGATGATGGTGTTCGACGAAGTTCACAAAACCAGTGGAAATCATCCTTATGTTCTGATTAACCGATTGGTTCAAGAATGGGATTACGAGAAGCCTCAGATCATTGGACTCACTGCTTCCCTGAATGTCAACGCTAAGGTACACACAGAAACAAGCGCAATGCTTGGAAACATCTACACCATGCTTGCATTATTGAACACACCGTGCTTGAGTTCAATCACTCATCAAGCCAGTATCGATGAGCTCAATGAGCACGTTACAAAACCAGACGATGGTAAGTTTGTTTTTGGTGTTATTGTGAAATGTGTAATTTTCAGAGGTGGAAGTCCTACCGCCAGGTCCGAATGTTCTCCGTGCTCATATCGAGACTTATCTTCACATCAATCACGGAAAGCTGTGTGGAGAACTCGAAAAATTGTCAAAATCCCGGCATAACTGTTTCCCTGCGAAAACGTATCACATGTTCCGAAAAGCCAATACGAAAGATTACGAGTACTACGATGCGCTACTCACCAACATCATCCAAGACCTGAACAAATTGAACACACCCGAGAAAATGTGTGCTCAAAAATGGACAAAATACATCAAGGTGACAAATAATCATAGTTTCCATCTCAAAATTAGTTTTTCAGGTATATGTTGAAGCCCGCAGCATCGTCGACGTCATGCCTGCAATGACGGCCTTTGAATACATGAGAGACGCAATTCGAATTCTCGATAATGAACACACTCTCACCCAGTTCAGCGACTTCTTTACTGATAGGATTTATGAGCCTTTGCGAAAAAATTCGGAGAATGTGGAACCGCCGATTGTACAAAAACTGAAGGATACACTCATTACTCAATTCGCGACGATTCCCGATTCGCGTGTCATCATCTTTGTTGTGCAGAGAAGTACTGCACAACGAGTCAGCGACTTTTTGAATCGATCTGAAGAAGTTATGAAGCAATTAAGTAGTTCAGGCGACAAGCGAGAAGACATGATTGGATACGTGCTGGGAACGAATAAGCAAGGAGCAGTGCAGCAGAGTCCAGACGAGCAAAAAACCGTACTTGGTCGGTTCAATACTGGAAAACTGAAAGTGATCGTTGCTACGTCGGTTGTTGAGGAAGGTCTTGATGTGGCTGCTTGTAATCTCATTATCAAATATAATTGCTCATCGGGTTCCGCGATTCAACTCATCCAACAAAGAGGTCGTGCTCGTGCGAAGAATTCTCGGTCTGTGCTTCTAGCAGTTCACAGCAAGGTCAAAGAGGACGACAACAACGCGTTGATTTCCGAAAAGTTTATGAGGTTGTGTATGAAACATATCGAAGAGAAAGGTTCGAAGCAATTGGAAAGTGAAGTGAGCATTGCGGCAGCTAGAATCCAAAAGGAGCGCAAGAATGAATTCGAAGCACAACAGGCGCTGAGAAACAAGCTCGACAGCAAAATCTACCGATTGACATGCACCAGTTGCTCCAGTTTCTTCAGTAGAAGTACGGCAGTGAAGAAAGTCTACTCAAATTATATGATTTTTGATAACGATGTTTGGAGCAGGTTTGGAATTGAATCGGTAATAATACTTTTGATTGATTTCTGTTTGATTGATTTAACGGTTTACAGAGACGAAAGAAGCCAAATAGGTATCTGAACGAAGAGACACAAGCCCTGAGTGTTTTAAAGTGTTTATCTTGCAAATCAGACGTTGGAAAGGCTTACAAGATGAGGTGAGTTCTCAGAAGAATTTAAAAAAAAACTAATATTCAAAATTTCAGAGGTGTCTATCTTCCACAACTCGACGTGAAAGCTGTAACGTTTGCTCCTGAAAATCATGACGAAGGGACAACAACAAGACAGAAGTGGTCGGCTGTAGAAAATGATCTTTTCTGGATTGGTGAAGCCACTCAAAATGATTTTGTAAGTCTTTATCTTTTATCTAGTCTCCTATATAGGTAATCTATGTTTTATTTTTCTCAGGAGATCATGCTGAATGCGTTGTTAAATACTCAAGAAAACATGGACAAAAAACGAATTCTTGACTTGGACTCGAAGCAGCACATTAGGGATATTGAGTTGAAGAAATAGTAAGTAAAGATCGTCTTATAAAAATTCCTAACGATAAAAACCTTGCAGTCGTGACCGGGAGACGGAGAATGCGGCGCGGAAGAAGAAGGTAGCAGAGGAAGAAGAAAGAGAGCGGCCAGTCCAAGGAAAAACTGATTTCAGTGAAGATGAAGACTGATGTTCGGAAAATCTTTGTATTATCTAAGACTTCTTGACTTTCGTTATATTTATTCGATTTGATTTTATTTCTCTTCCCCTTTTCTGGTTATAAAGCTACAGATCTATTGAAAATGAAGTTTGATGTTCTTTCTTTGTGGTTCTAGCAGCAGCAATTTCATGAAAAAGCAACATCTGAAACGACAGAAAGTATTGATTGAGCTGTATTTAAAGTCACAAAACAGGATTGTTCTGGTACAAAAAATCGGAGCTGGCCGAAGGTCCCACAACGACAACTACAGTAACCAAAAAGATGGTTTCAAACGAGTCCCATCAATGCATGTTATCTGATAAATTCAAGCACTCCTTTGCCGAAATGTGGTCAAGTACAAAAAAAAGGTATTGCCCCGGACGGGATTCGAACCCGCGATCGGTTGCCAATGCCAATGAGAACATAAGTCTCACGCCTTCGACCACTCGGCCACCGGGGCACATATTCTGAAAAAGGTGCAACTGGGTTAAAAGAGACTTTATTGGGTTGGAAAGGATGGTGAAAGGGGTTATCCAGTACAGGGACACGACGGAAACAATATCGAAACAATTCGGAAAGTTTAAAGTTGTGAAAAACTCAATTCTTGGCTCCAAATGGTTGCTATAGCGTTTTCGGAAACATTTACAGTAGATCAACAGAATATAAGATAACTTCCTT